CTGTCTCCCCAACTTTGGGGGCAGTGATTTGTCCTGTGACCTCAGTTCTCTAATGGATTTAAGAAGAGTTGATTTTTCTGTTGGTTCAGCTTTTTATTATTGTTAGGATGACTTCCAAGTTCCTTACAAGCCAGGGCCAAAAGCAGACTTCCTTTCTATAAAATGATAAAGATATTTTCTGGTCCATCATTGAATTTAGTGAAATATCCATATTCTAGTCACGAATTCTATTATTCTCTCTTATTCATAACTTTTTCTTGCTAAAATTATTTCTTCCCGAAATACGTTTTAGTTGTTAACAATTTAATGCTTCTATTTGTGAATTTTCTTAAACTCCACTTTTTCTCGCAGTGCTAACAGCCAGATTACTCGTGTTTGCCAATTGTGTCAACATGTGAAAAAGATGCACTGTTTACTCTGTCGTTCTTAATGTTCTGCCTGCAAATCCCGCTTTGTGAATTGAATTGGCTGCAGCTGCATGTTAGGTTGACGGCATCGGGAAACAGTTTACAGAGAATGTCGGCTTACAAGTGAAGGCTCCAAACTATTTTCAGATCTCATTTTCCCTAAACCCGTTACCCTAAATCTGTCCACGTTGAAACTCACCTGTATTTTATGGCTCACTCATATTACTTAGAGCAATGCTTTCAATCTTGGCTTCAGATTAGAATCACTGGCTCTACTTCTTTTTTTTTTTTCTTTTTAATTAAACTTTTTTTGGGGAGGGAGGGGTTCTTGCTAGGTTGCCCAGGCTGGTCTCAAACTCCAGGGCTCAATTGATCCTCGTGCTTCGACCTCCTAAAGTGCTGGAATTACAGGCATAAGCCACCACACCTGGCCACTGCTGGTTCTATTTCTATGTAATTGGTCTGTGTGTCCTGGTATCAGATTTCTGAAAGATCCTCCAAGTGATTTTACTATGCAATTAAGGTTAAAATCTAAGAGCCAGCAAATCTAAAAAAAATTTTAAAAAAATTTTGTAAAGATTGTGAGAGGCTGTGCTATGTTGCCCAGGCTGTTCTTAAACTCCTGGCCTCAAGCAGTCCTCCCTCCTCAGCCTTACCAAGTGGTTACAGGCATGAGCCACTGTGTCTAGTCACCAGCAAACTTTTTCTCTGAAGACCAGACAGTAAATGCTTTAGGCTTTGGGTCATATAGTCTCTATTGGAGTTACTCAACTCTAACCTCATAGCATGAAAGCAGCCACAGGCATGTGAGCACCGCACTGTTTAATAAAACTTTATTTCTAGACGGTGAAATTTGGATTTACATAATTTTCATACGTCAGAAATATTCTCCTTTTCATTGTTTTTCAGCTATTTACAAATGCAAACATTGTCTCACAGGATATGCAGAAACAGGTTTTGAGTGGGCTTTGCAATAGTCTGGCAATCCTTGGTTTATGGCTTCTTTGCTTCACTGCTTCAGTTCGGTTCTGTAAGATAAAATATTTCTTCCCCTAAATCACTATAACCTTTTTCATGAGTGCTAGCATTGGTTACTTGTTTTATTTGTCTTATCAGAATATTTTAAAACATGGCAATGCATCTCCTTAGTTAGATATTGTAGCCGCCAGGTGCAGGTGCTCACACCTGTAATTCCAGCACTTTGGCAGGCTAAGGCAGGCAGTTCACTTGAGGTCAAGAGTTCCAGACCAGCCTGGCCAGCATGGTGAAATTCTGTCTCTACTAAAAATACAAAAATTAGACGGGCGTGATGGTGGGCACCTGTAATCCCAGCTACCTGGAGGCTGGCAGGAGAATCACTGGAACCGGGGAGGCAGAGGCTGCGGTGAGTCAAGATCGTACCACTGCACTCTAGCCTGGGCAACAGCGTGAGATTCTGTCTCAAAAAGAAATAAATAAATAATTGCAGCAGTTGGGATGCTTTTGTCTTCAAGTAGCAAGCCTGGCTTAAATGGCTTAAAACAGTCGGAAAGGGCTGGGTGTGGTAGCTCATGCTTGCAATCCCAGCAGCACTTTAGGAGGCTAAAACAGGTGGATCACTTGAGCCCAGCTGTTCCAGACCAGTCTGGGCATGGCAAAACCCTGTCTCTACAAAAAATACAAAAATTAGCTAGGTGTGGTGGTGCATGCCTGTAGTCCCAACTGGTCAGTGAGCTGAGGCCAGAGGATGGCTTGAGCCCAGCAGGTAGAAGCTGCACTGAACCAGGATTACGCCTTTGTACTCCAACCTGGCAGACAGCCTAAGGCCTTGTCTCAAAAAACAAAAACAAAAATAAGAAAACAGTATGAAAGGTATCCTATTATTGAAATACAGACAGCTCTGGGGTTAGTTCAGCTGCTGTGCAACGTCATCACATACAGATGCATAACATCCAGCAGAGAGCAGGGGTGTTCTTTCCATGTGTTTATTTTTAATAGTGAGGCAGACTTCTAGAATGAGCCCTTCCTCCCTTGTAGATCTCCCCTTAGGTCCCAAAGACCAAATCAGTCCCTGGTGAATGAATTAAGATCTCCTAATGAAATGTCAGGATGCACCCTCTGGGTTTTAGAAGGGCCCAGCCTGCTTTAAGCAGGTAGTCTCAGGATCCCAGAACCAAATTAGGGTTCTGTGAGGAAGGAGAAAGGAAGAATAGCAATTGGGAAGGAATCAACTGGGTTTCTCACAGAGCTAGATTCTTCGGATTAAAAAGAGAACTGTGGGCCAGGCATGATGGTTCCCACCTGTAATCCCAGCACGTTGGGAGGCTGAGGTGGGCAGTCAGGTCAGGAGTTTGAGACCAGCCTGGCCAACATAGTGAAACCTTGTCCCTAATAAAAGTACAAAAAGTAGCCAGGCTTGGTGGCACGGGCCTGTAATTCCAGCTACTTGTGAGGGTGAGGCATGATAATCACTTGAACCCGGGAGGCAGAAGTTGCAATGAGCCCACCTTACACCACTGCACTCCAGCCTAGGTGACAGAGCAAGGCTCCATCTAAAAAAATAAATAAAAAATAAAAAATCTGAAGAAGACTCCATGCTGAGCTTCTTGAATTTCTCTTTATTTCCTATAAAGAACACTAGGGAATTGCTCAGTACAATTTCCCTAAAAGAAAACCTATTGATTTTTCACATAAATAAATAATATTTTGCTTTAGTCTTCAAAACCACAGCTATTATTTCTATGGGGTTACATTTTTTAAAAGTATTCTATTTTTGCCTACTTTGTCATTTTAACCTTTACTATACTGCATATCAATAGAAAAATGTTCATGCTACAATGACATTTTTTTTTTGAGACAAGGTCTAGCTCTGTCACCCACAGTGGAGTGCAATGACATGAGCACAGCTCACTGCAGCCTCAACATCTTGTGCCCAAGCAATCCTCCTGCCTCAGCCTCCCAAGTAGGGGAGACCATAGGCATGCACCACCACACCCAGCTAATTTTTTTTTTTTTTTGTAGAAATGGTGTCTCACTATGTTGCCCAGGCAGGAGATCCTCCTGCCTCAGCCTCCCCAAATGCCAGGATTACAGGTATGAGCCACTGTGCCTGGCCTAAAAATGATTTTTTTTAAAGGCACCATTATTTGTTCATTTTGAACCATTAAACAATGTCTACTTTTGATTTTTGCATTGTGAAAATAATAAAAATTGTTTTCAGAAATATTCTAGCATTGAATAAGAGTTTAAGACTATACATGTCATTTCCTGCTTTCCCTTGTCACCTCCATGGCTATTTTGATGTACCTCCCAAGTGGTAATACCCACCTATGACTCCTTATTTGAAAAAAATCACTGAGAAGGCCAGGCGTAGTGGCTCATACCTATAATCCTAGCACTTTGGGAGACTGAGATGGGAGGACAGCTTGAGCCTAAGATTTCAAGACTAGCCTGGGCAAGATGGCAGGATCCTGTCTCTATGAAAAATAAAAAATTAACTGGGTGTGGTGGTGTATACCTATGGTCCTAGCCTCTCAGGGGGCTGAAATGGGAGGATCGCTTGAGCCCCGGAGGTTGAGGCAGCAGTTAGCCATATTTGTGCCACTGCACCCTAGCCTTGGTGACAGAGCAAGACGCTATAAAAAAAAAAATTACAGAGGGAGATCTTATATCAATATCAATTCCACACTCAACTGTACTTATCCTTCTGAGAGCCCTGATCCCTCAGCATGGGCTGAAATTCTACCTTTGCAATTTTCTTGGGAGAACATCTGGCACAGTGGAAGCTGCTTCTGCCTAGGACAGAGAAGCTTCTGGTCTTGGCTCTGCCTCTTATGAGGCATGTTAACATTGGACAAGTCACTTAACCTCTCTAAGCTCTAGTTTTGATGTCTATAAAGCAAGAATTTGAACTATGTGGCTATAAGGTCCCTGTGGGAACTAATGTTTTTTCTTTTTTTGAGATGAAGTCTTGCACTGTCTGTCGCCTAGGCTGGAGTGCAGTGGCGCGATCTCGGCTCACTGTAATCTCCGCCTCCTGGGTTCAAGCAATTCTCCTGCCTCAGCCTCCTGAGTAGCTGGGACTACAAGCGTGTGCCACCACGCCCAGCTAATTTTTTTGTATTTTTAGTTTCAACATGTTGGCCAGGATGGTCTTCATCTCCTGACCTCGTGATCCACCCACCTCAGCCTCCCAAAGTGCTGGGATTATAGGTGGGAGCCACTGCTCCCTGCCCTAATGTTTTTTTTCTTTACCATGTGATCCAAAATATTGACCTTTCCTTTCTAATGTCAATCTGATTTCTACTGTCATTGTTGATTGGTGAAGCCTACAGACGCAGTGCTATAGCTCCACTTATTTTATGGTTGTGTTAGATAGTAAGATAGTAAGAGTGATGTCTAAGAAGGTGATATGTTGTAGAGGCAGTGCTGTCTTTCGCCACAGCACTGTCAGATGACCCATCATAGCCTAGTGTGAGACATTCCCATGTCACTAAGCCACATCCCTCACCCATTCGAGGAAGCAAATCAGAAGACAAATAAGCAAGCGTTTTTTGATAACCCAAATAAGCAAATCAGAAGACAAGGCAAATAAGCAATAACAAAGGAGATCACTTTGGACAGCTTTATTATTATTTTTTATTTTTTAACTAAAATGTTTGCAAATCTCTATACTTTCATTGCTAATATTGTAATATACTTCACTGTTATTTAAAACATACAACTATCCCCTGCAGCTTTAGAGATGTCTTTTACTCCTTCTAGAACTCTCTGTGTATCTAGGAGCATTCCATACAGAAGTGAAACAAACCATGAAACCCTGAAAAACTGGAATGGGGAGGAAAGTTCTATTTGGTGGCAAAAGTGGTTACCTTTGGCTGGTCCGGAATTTTTTTTTTCATGCCCTTCAGAACCCATTCCTATGCTCATTAGTAATTCAGTTGTTTTTTGTGTTTTTTTTGTTTTTTTTTTTTTTTTTCTCAATTCACATAGAACTTTTTCTTTTTTTCTCAGGAGGGTTACACATTTTAGGAGAGTGCGGTCATCTTTAGAAGAACCTGTGGAACTTTTCCCTAAAGAATGTGAAAATAGGTTAACTAGATTGGCATTTTGCAAGCTTTGCCCCCAGCCTGAAGTGCCCCATTGGCAGAGGTTGGCCAATGAATGGCAGCTTCTTGGGTCTAGGGCCCTTCTTCCTCTTCTCATGGGCGCTCTATTAAAGGTGGAGAGTTATGTGCTACGTGATCTCCAAGAGCAGTGTACTTTCGCACTTCCAGTCCGGGTGAGCCCTCTTCATACTGAAGGGCTGCATCCCCGGGCCTCTTCCCCGGGAGGATTTCTGGTGGCCTCTTCGTAGGAGGGTGGTGAGCACTGGGAGGGGAGGGTGGCCTCTGGGGGCAGCGGGGCGTATTGGAAGTCCTCACTGCTCCAGGCCAGGCCAGGCAGCAGGTCTGTGACCTCTCCTGCCGCTGGGTGCTCTGGTAGGTCAACGCTGAACACCTGCCCCTGGGGTTGCGGGGACTTGCAGCGGCGGTACAGGAACAACAGCAGAAAGGCCAAGAAGAGCAGGACAGTGGCCGGCAGAAGGATGCACAGGAAGGGCTCCACATCCTCCTGGGTGGAGCTCACCCGCTGCGTGCCCTGGAGTTAGGGAAGGAAGCCCAGTTAGGAGATGCGGAAAGAAGGCCTCACATTTCTTTTCTTTCTTTATTTTTCCTTTTCTTGAGACAGAGTCTTTTATTTTTATTTTTGAGATGGAGTCTCGCTCCCGTCTTGTAGGCTGGCATGCAGTGGCATGGTCTTGGCTCACTGCAACCTCCACCCCCCGGGTTCAGGCGATTCTCCTGCCTCAGCCTCCAGTGTAGCTGGGATTACAGACGTGCCACTATGCCTGCCTAAGTTTTGTATTTTTAGTTGAGGCAGGGTTTTGCCATGTTGGCCAGGCTGGTGTCGAACTCCTGACCTCAAGTGATCTGCCCGCCTTGGCCTCTCAAAGTACTGGGATTACAGGTGTGAGCCACCACACCTGGCCAAGGTCTTGCATTTCTAAGGCCCTGAAGTTCCTTCTCATCTTTCATTCTTCTTAACATTATTACTCACTCTAAAAATCACTCTCATTTACTTATGAATGAGAGTGAGCTTGAGCCTATTGAAATGGCGTTAATTTACACAAAGTGTAAATTCAGAATGTCAGAAAGTATACGTTGATGAGATCTTAGAAAATTTCCACGAAAGTAAAATTATTGAAATAAATTTTAGTTTGTAGGTCTGCTGTTCATTTTCTTGAATGAGACTAATTATGATTTATTGCCACCAACGAATCATGTGGGACTCACTTAAGTTCTTTAATTCTGGAACAAAATCTCATTATGTATTCATATCACATGTAAATATTACATGCATGTCAAATGTAAGTAACTGGATTTGATAGCTGGTGCTTATGATGAATGAGATTTTAAAAAATTCTTTAAATTCGTGTTTTGGTCTTTTTTTTTTTGAGGTGGAATTTTGCTCTTGTTGCCCAGGCTGGAGTGCAATGGTACTATCTCTGCTCACTGCAACTTCTGCCTTCCAGGTTCAAGTGATTCTCCTGCCTCAACCTCCTGAGTAGGTGGGACTACAGGCATCTGCCACCTCACCTGGCTAATTTTTTTGTATTTTTAGTAGAGACAGGATTTCATGCTGTTGGCCAGATTGGTTTTGAACCCCTGACCTCAAGAGATCTACATGCCTTGGCCTCCCAAAGTGCTAGGATTACAGGCGTGAGCCACTGCACCCGGCCTTAAATTTGTTTTTGTAATATTTGTAGGATAAATATGAAAACATTTTTACCTTTTTAATGACAAAGAATAAGAATTACAGATAAATTCTTGTGCAACCTAAAAGGTAGTGATTTTATATTAGCTCACAGAAATAATGATGGTTCCCGATGGCATAAATAATACAATAGGCGAGAAATGATGCTTCAGCAGCAAGTTAGGAAAGCAATGTTTTAAAAAATACTGTTCCTAATTGCACAGAGACTGCCTTTAATAAGGCAACTAAAAAATAATGAAGTATTAAAAAGTTTCTTTTATAAAGCATGTAGTAACAAGTGTAAATGTTAGTATCTACCATGGAGGAAAAGAAAATATATTTAAAGCCTTGTAATCATTTAAAAAATAAGCAATAAGAATATTAAGTTCTAGGCCGGGCGCGGTGGCTCAAGCCTGTAATCCCAGCACTTTGGGAGGCCGAGGCGGGTGGATCACTAGGTCAAGAGATCGAGGTCATCCTGGTCAACATGGTGAAACCCTGTCTCTACTAAAAATACAAAAATTAGCTGAGCATAGTGGCATGTGCCCGTAATCCCAGCTACTCAGAAGGCTGAGGCAGGAGAATTGGCTGAACCCAGGAGGCAGAGGTTGCAGTGAGCCGAGATCACGCCATCGCACTCCAGCCTGGCTAACGAGCGAAACTCCGTCTCCAGAAAAAAAAAAAAAAGAATATTAAGTTCTTTATCTCTTATTTAAAAGAAAACCTAGGCCAGGTGCAATGGCTCATGCCTGTAATCCCAGTATTTTAGGACTTTGGGAGGCCAAGGCAGGAGGATCATTTGAGGTCAGGAGTTCAAAACCAGCCTGGCCAACATTGTGAAACCCCGTCTCTACTAAAAATACAAAAAAAATTAGCTGGGTGTGGTGGTGGGCACCTGTAATCCTAGCTACTCTGGAGGCTGAGGCAGGAGATTGGGAGGCTGAGGCAGGAGATTGGGAGGCTGAGGCAGGAGAATCACTTGAACCCAGGAGGTGGAGGATGCAGTGAGCCAAGATTGTGACACTTAACTCCACCAGCCTCAGCGACAGAGCAAGACTCTGTCTCAAAAAAAAAAAAAAAAAAAAAAAAGAAAGAAAGAAAAAGAAAACCTAATAGTTAAAACTATGAGAGATGACATTCACTCCTTGATTTTGGTGGAAAGGACACATGTTTTGCTGGTCATGACCTCTTAGGAGACTGGTTTATCTAGCTTGCATTTTATAATATTAGATGTTTGTATAATGTTTGTCATTCCCTAAAGACCTTACAATTATGTGTGTGGGTTTGACTCAAAATTAGATGGCTTATTTAATATTTGTATTTCTAGATATTTTGTCCTTGGTAAGATATGAATCAAGATATTTTAGCTTAAAGAGCATAAAAATAAAAGGTGTTCTTGAGAAGCAGAGCATCATCATTGGGGGTTGACAGCTCTGTGTTTGAATTCCTGTGACGTTCTAACACCTGCGTGACTATGGACCATTCACTTGCCTTCTCTGGGCCTAGACTGTCTCCTCTATAAAATGGAATTAATAACATCTGTTATCAGAGGTTAGCATGAGAGTTAAATAAAGTAAAGTGTGTAAAGTACTTGGCGATGGTACTTATATATTTATGTCTCAGTGACTCGAGCAGTCAAGTTTATGATACCTAAAATATTAAAGATATTAAGAGAAATCTAGAAATTTATTGGTAAGGCTAGAAAACCAGAGAAATCTAGAAATTTGTTGGTAAGGCCAGAAAATAAGATCTGGCATAACTAAATTTATATTTTAATGAATATGTATTTTCAGAAAAAAAATCTTTTATATTTTATGTATGGGATTGTTAAATTTCTAAACTATAAATTCCTTCTTTTTTTACATAAAATCTAATTTGATATCAGAATTATTAACTCAAAATCTGTTGTGACATAATAAAGACTGATTACAAAAACTATAAGAGTAGATGAACTCACAGATTTGCTACAATTATTAAGAAATGAAGTTGGAGTAAAACCTTTTTTTTTTTTTTTTTTTTTTGAGACAGAGTTTCACTCTTGTTACCCAGGCTGGAGTGCAATGGCACGATCTGGGCTCACCGCAACCTCCGCCTCCTGGGTTCAGGCAATTCTCCTGCCTCAGCCTCCTGAGTAGCTGGGATTACAGGAGTAAAACCTTTTTAACTATAATTTGTTTTTTCTCTCTAGATGAGTCACTGAAAAATCTTTTCCCATTTTTAATGCTTAATAATAGCCTAATAGCTTATGCTAGCTTAATAAATAATAGCTTTGGCTATTACCTCTTATACTACTTCAACCCTGCTAAGCATGGACCATTTTTCATAATCTATTTTTATTTCATTCACTATCAATAATTGTTTCATTCTCTGTCAGTAGTATGGATGATAACTGTTTCTGATCAGTTGTGGCCACCAATTCTAGATGTGGCCGTCTACTCATCTAGGATATGATAAAGTCTCTTTCATATCCTAGAAAGTCAGTATGCATAGAATATAGACAGATTTAATGTTCTACCTGAAAGGTTTTATGTAATAGATCCTTTGTTTATAATTATGATACTTAAGCTATTCTCAATACTAGTTGCAAACATTTAGGAAAGGAAAAATCCCATGGTCCCTGTTGTAATCAGTGCTGCCATTGGTTGAGTTAAATTTGTCCACATACAAAGTGGCATTAGAAGACTATTATACTGTAAACTAGGACGATTTCTGGAGAAGAAAAACTTTTCCAGTTAAGAGAGGCCCAGAGCTATCAGACAAATTTATTATAGTATCCTTAATTTGCTTATTTAATTATTTATGGTATATGGCTTAAACTTGTCGAATTATTTTTTAATGTGGAAAGGATGTCTTTTTTAGTCAAATATCCTAATTTGGTCACCAGCCTCAAAGTTGTTTCTTAACTTTTAATGTTTTTCTGATGTATATATTGGCTAAAGGGATTTGTTGTTCAGGGAATATTTTAAAGAAATATCCAATTAAAGGTGTAAGTACTAAAGAATAGAGATATATATCTCAATATCTCAGTATATATCCAATATATATTGATATCCATAACTAAAGGTGTAAGTTAAAGGATATTGAGTTATATATCTCAATATGTATTTTTGTATTTTTTTCTGTAAAATGTGGTTTTGGAGAACTTAAAGATGAATCTCACCAGTTGGCTTTCCAGAAAGCAAGAGAATAGTTTGATTTTCTTCTTTCTCGTGTTGCCAACAGCGTCACTCCTTTCTCCTTTGTTTATAAAGTTAATTCTTAGGTTTTAGAATCTTTGTCCTTAATGCTGCTTCCGATGGATACTACACCGATTTATCAGACAAAGCAAAGCAGCTGCTGTATTTCTTAGTGAGAGACAAAATGTCTTTAACCCCCTGCTGTCCTACCTGAAATAAGATGCAGGGTTTCTGCTAACACTTAAAAATAGTGGTTAATACACAGCCAGGACCAGAGAGGCTCCTGTTTTTGTATACGTAGATATTGCTTACTGAGCAAAGAACAAAGTGGTAACACTGAAGCATTTCTGTTGGAGCACCTCTGTTGACTCCTAGTTTCAGACGTTCTTTGACAGTTGTGCCAAGTTTTATTTGAATGTACCCTTGTCCAAAAAAAATACAACTTTCACGTTATTCCCTTTAGACCATGCCAATCAGTGAATTCATATTTTTGGTAGAGATGTAAGGCAAAATACTGCTACTCCGTTTTAAGATCCTAAAACCATTGGTATTGTTGATTTTAAAATGGATGAAGATGCTTTGGGAAGAAAAGACTAAAGTCGTAAGTACAGACCTGCAGCTGGGTCTCCAGGAGAGGCAGGCTGGGCTCGCTGGTTAACCACTCGTATGTTCCCCGGCCAGCATGTCCAAACTTCTTCCAGCTGCTGCCCAGCAGTCCCCGCATGTTTTCATCCAGCTGGTGCCCCGGCTACCCTTCCACCTTGCTGCCCAGATTTCAACAGTGCTGCCTGCTCTTGGCCTGGATCCAATTTGGATGTGCTTGGCTGATGGCTGTTGGTAAACTTGTCCTCTGATGAGTGGCAACAGGGAAAAGAAACCAACCGGAGCGACCTCCCAGGACTGACTGCATTTAGATTCGGTGTCTCTGGATTTGTGTCTGTGGCCTTTATTATTATAGGGGTTGGCATCAGGTATCAGATATAAAATAGATTTCAGGCAAGGGCATTTTCTGCACCAGCATTACTACAGTGTAAAGAATGGCCTCAGTGAATAAAGAGCTGCCTATGATTTAGCATGTAAATAAGACCCTTTTCCTTTTCTTACACACACCTCTCTCTAGAGACGTAACTGACCAAGGAAAGCTACTCAAGCTGAATTTCCCTCTAATTATTTATGGACTCTGTGGTACAGAGAGAAGGGCTATCTGGTAGAAAAGCAAAGATTCATTATGAATATTTTACTGAATTATTCAGATGAAAGATGCCTAATGATAAAGTTGTACAGAAGAGAGACCATAGCTTAGATTGTTTGGATGGAATGTTTGCCGATTTCTATTGTTTTAAAAAATCAAATTATCAGTACCTAAATGGTATTCCTTCTGATTATCTTGTGAACTTCATAACATTATTGATATCAAGCTTAAAGCAAGGAGCTTTCAATTTGAATGTTCACTGAGTTGACTTTGAGATGCTTGATTATACATATTATTTAACATTTAAGATATGGTGGTTGAATGCTCTTTCTTAGTGGGATAAACTTCAGCTTCAAAGATTTATGCAATTGTTATGGAGAATAGTCTGGGCAATTTAAAAAGAAAAAAAGATCTATGCAAAATGTTAGCACTCAATATTACAACCATCCACATCCTTACCTAAGCATCATTTCTGTACAAATGATTGTCATGCTGAAATATTATTTCTTAACCAGGATTCTTTTTTTAATCTTGATGGAGATTCTCAGTGACTGGTCCATGGTGGTTCATGAATAAGTTTCAGGAGGTAGTCAACTCTCCAGACTTTTTAGATATGTGTAATTTTCTTGGGAGACTCCATAGTTTTCATTACCTTTTCAGACGAGATCCAGTACGTTCAGAGTGGTGCAGCCATAGACTTCGTTACCTTTTCAAAGACAGCAGCTGCCCTCCCAGGCAGAATTTAGTACTTTGTCCAACTTTTCTTTTGTGGTAAAAGTTTTCAGTAAGTGTCGCAGTACCTCAGTCAGCATCCTCGTGTGGAACTCTTCATTTCATCATCATCTTTCTTATTGTGGAGGAAGCTGATTTTGTGCTTTCCATTGAAATATTGCCTTGTTCCATTTCTGTGTTCCTGTTTTAAATAGATCCTGTATCCCACCCTTGATACATCAGAAACACCAGGTATCCAGGGCACCATTTGCCTTCCTGCATTTCAGTGGTTCTGTCAATACTGTGGCCCCAGCATTAGCCATCCTTCTCTGCCTTGCCTACTTATTTAAACACTAAACCTTCATTTCCTGAGAAGCAAATTGGAGTCCTGGATTAAAAGCATTATATATGTATCTGAAACATTGACTCTCCAGTATTGAATAAATTAGAGGAAATTCCTACATTTATGAATACATTTTGGGGGTCCAAAAAACAACCAATTGCACAAATAAAGTATTGAGGGAGAGAAATGTTGTGGGGGAAAAAAGCAGAGAATGTACGGTAAATACTGAAGGGAGGAAGCACTTTGAAAAGAGGACATCACTTAGGACCTCAGAGGGAAAATGGTATTTGAGCAAAGACCTGAAGGCAGCAAGGGACTGAGCTATGAAGATGGTGGGTGAGAAAACATTGTAGACCAAGGGGACAGCCAGTGCAAAGGCCCTGAGGCAGGCATATGTCTGGTTCCTTCATCAAATGGCTAGTAGGTCTGAGTGACCGGAGCAGTGAACTAGGAGAAAAAAAGTAGTGGATGAAATCAGATCCGTGGGGAGGTCAAAGGGTAGCATTAAGTTCAGGGTTTATAGAGCATTGGGAGAATTTTGGCTTTTACTCTAAGTCAAACGAAGGAACTATACAGAGTTTTGAGCAGAGGAGTGCTAAGATCTGACTTCCATTTTAAAAGGATCACTCAGCCTCTGTGTGGTAACTAGGTAGGGATTAAGGGCAAACACAGGGAGACTAGTTAGGGGCTGTTAATAATTCAGGAAAGAAATACCGGACCCCAGAGTAGAAGCAATAAAAGTGATAGAGACAGGAGGCAGAGAAACTCTAGGCAGGTAGGGGCAGGTCCCTCGCAGAGTCCAGCCTTCAACCCAAAAAACCTGAAACCCATGGCTCAAAGGGAGAATTTCTATCCCTGTTTGCCCACTCTCTCCTGATTGATTCTTTCTGAATAATGTCTTTTTACCAATCAAATGTTGCCTTTTCCAAAACTACCTATGGCCTGCTGCCCCACCATCCTGTGCCTATAAAGACCCCACACTCAGCCAGTAGAGAGGAGAAGCAACTGGACATTAGAGGAGAAGCAGCTGGACATTGAGAGGTGACTTGACTTCAGAGATAACAGCTGAATGTTGGAGAGGGTCAACCTGACTTCAGGGGAGAGTGACCTGCCCTTCCTATCACCTTTCTAGCTCCTCTCTTCATTGAGAACCCCTTTTATTGCTCAATAAAATTCTCCACATTCCCCATCCTTCAACTGGTCTGCATCACCTCATTCTTTTTGGGCACCAGACAAGAATTTGGGACCCACCAAGTGTCACACTGACCCTTTGTCCTCACTGGTAAAGGGCAGCCACCCCATGTGACAAGGCAAAGGGTCCACTGAGCTGACAACACACTGCTGTCTGCAGATGGTGGAGCTAAGAGAGCCCTGCGATATGCCCTCTGGGGCCTTGAGGTTTGCTCCGGCTGGCTCTAAAGCGGTTGGCCAGTTCCCACACTCGCTTGCCTACATGCTTCCTCTCATGAGGGGTCAAACAGGGTGGGCTGAGTAAATGGGGGACCCCTGTCGTGAGTCCTGCAAAGGAGTCAAAAAAATATCCTTCATAAAAGGAGGCAAGAGTCTAGATTCTAAATATGTTTTAGGGATAGAGACAACATGATATCTTGAACTGAAGGTGGTATAAAGAATGATTTGGAAGAATTCCAAGGTCTTAGGCTTGAGCAGCTGCAGGGATGGCCATTGTTATTTACAGACAATTGAAAGACTGGGGTTTTGTTTTTTAAAGCAGGAGGAATAAAGATCAGGAGTTGGTTCTAGATATGGTAAGTTTTCAGTGTGTGTGAGTTTGGATACTTGTGTTTTAGTTTAAGGGTGAGGACTAGACAGGAGACACTAGTTGGAACTTATTGGCAAGGAGATGGTTTTTAAAGCTAGAGATCACCCATAGAATGTGGGTCAATAGGATGAGAAGGCAGAGTGAGTGTCCAGTGAGCTGAAAGGAAACCAAGAGTGCGTGGTGTCCTGGAATCCAAGTGAGAAAATGTTTCTGGAAGGGGGAAAATGATCGTCTGTCTCAAAAGATACTGTCTGATCAAGTAACATGAATGACATTTAGTACTGGATTTAACACAATGTGTGTATGCATATATATGGAGGGGCATGATCGTTGGTAATTTGGACAAGAGGAGTTTTGATGGAGTGTCGGGAGGAAAAGCCTGATTAGAATGGTTTTGAGAGAGAAAAAAGAAGAATTGGAGATTCTTTTTTTTTTTTTTTTTTTTTGAGGCGGAGTTTCACTCTTGTTACCCAGGCTGGAGTGCAATGGCGCGATCTCGGCTCACCGCAACCTTTGCCTCCAGGGTTCAGGCAATTCTCCTGCCTCAGCCTCCTGAGTAGCTGGGATTACAGGCACGTGCCACCATGCCCAGCTAATTTTTTGTATTTTTAGTAGAGACGGGGTTTCACCATGTTGACCAGGATGGTCTCGATCTCTTGACCTCGTGATCCACCCACCTCGGCCTCCCAAAGTGCTGGGATTACAGGCTTGAGACACCGCGCCCGGCCCGGAGATTCTTTAAAAACCTAGGGTTATTCTGTTTGAAAGTGGAGCAGAGAAAACAAATAGTAGCTGGACAGTGGCATGTCATGAAGAAGGTGGCATACTCAGAACAAGTTAATGGATCACAGAAAAGAGAACATGGTGTTGGCCCTCAGCAATTCCAGTCCTAGGGATCCCTCTTAAAAAATAACCTGATGGGCCAGGCACAGTGGCTCACGCCTGTGATCCCAGCACTTTGGAAGGCCGAGGTGGACAGATCATGAGGTCAGGAGTTCGGCAAACATGGTAAAATCCTGTCTCTACTAAAAATACAAAAATTTGTCAGGCACGGTGGCACTTACCTATAGTCCCAGCTACTTGGGAGGCTGAGGCAAGAGAATAGCATGAACCCAGGAGGCAGAGGCTGCAGTGAGCAGAGATCATGCCACTGCACTCCAGCCTGGGCTACAGAGCAAGATCACATCTCAAAATAACAACAATCTGATGAATATTCAAAATTATATAATCTAAGTACTCAAAGATATACGTTGTTGAAATACGTTGTAACACATCTTAAATGTCCATACTAACAAACGATGGAAAGGAAAATGTCTACAAAATGACATTTGATTAATAAGATATAAACATATAAAGATATATTATCTCCTGAAAGCAAATACCAGAACGATGGAAACATGTTCACAACATATTATAAGGAATGTGTCAGGAAACTGCATGTTTGGGCCAGGTGTGGTAGCTCATAGCTATAACCCCCAGCACTTTGGGAGATGGAGGCAGGAGGACCACTTGAGGCCAGGAGTTTGAGACCAGCCTGAGCAACATAGTGAGATCCCATCTGTATACACACACACACACACACACACACACACACACACACACACACACAGAGAGAAAGAGAGAGAGAGAGAGAGAGAGAGAGAGAGAGAGAACTGCATGTTTATTATAAATTTGCATATCTCTGCATATAGAAAAAAAGTGTTAACAGTGGCATTGTTTTCTAAGTGGTGAAATTAGGGGTTGTTTTCCATTGGACTATGGATTTTATTTCTGAGCATCTATATTTTGTAATTTTTCTATGAATATGTGTTGCATAAGCAAGACATAATCGTTCTCAGATTTGCCTATCTTTGAAGAACTGGATGA